CCCTAACCCTAACCCTAACCCTAACCCTAACCCTAACCCTAACCCTAACCCTAACCCTAACCCTAACCCTAACCCTAACCCTAACCCTAACCCTAACCCTAACCCTAACCCTAACCCTCTAATACCTTAATCTTCGTACTTTCCATTTTTTAACACTTTTCTTCTCCTTAACACTTAACCCCTCTTCCCACAACACTCCTTAACACTCTCAACTCCTTCTCAACACTCTAACAACCCCTTAACACTCCCTTAAAACACTATAGCTTATCCCCTAACTCTCCTTACCTTACTCTCCCTCACACTCCTTAACCCTTAAAAACTCGCCCATTAACAAACACCACACTCCTCCCTTCCTTCTCCTTAACTCCCCTTAAAACACCATAGCTTACACTCCTCACTACTCCTTAACCCTCCTCAGCCCTCAAAAAACTCGCCCATTAACCCCTAATACACTATGCCCTACTTCCACTTAACCCTCTTTCCAGCATACACCCTTGCCCTGCCTTAACTTCCCTTGAAATCCTTAAAAACTCGCCCACTCTCCATCTTAACACCATAGCTTACTCCCTTATACACCTATAGTTTCTCCTGAACACTCCCTAGTTCATAATTTGAATATCCTACATATACTTATAGACAGGCAAGGTTGGTCACAATATTATATAATCTGTCACTCTTTGTGACCTAAGTTGCCTGCCAGGCAAGGTCAGTCACAAGATTATATAATCTGGTCACACTATGACCTAGTTACATCAGCTGCCCACATCAAGATATCATGTCATTGATCTATGTATCTAGGGTCAGGGTTGATAAGGGGGGACCTCAAATGCTTAGATAACCAGGCTGGATCACATTGTGATGTCATTGATCTAGCTAGGGTCAGGGTTGATAGGGGGAGCCCTCAATTGATTATGTCAGCCTGCCTGCCAGATTACTACACAATATAGTAGGCTCATATTGAGTGAACCAGACCAGATATATTTATGAGACAACTTGCACATTGTAGCCATGCTCAGGGGCTA